CTGAGTTCTGGGTGATCTGCAGGATGATTCAGCAGCAGTGCTTCTCATGGATCAACAAAACCAGACGCACAACCTGACCAGTGTTGATGATGGAGGACAGCTGACTCTCCTCTGAATGAATGACAGTCTGATCAGCCTCAGTCTGAATGCAGCACCGAGTCCATATCTGACTGTGTTTTCTGTTCAGATCGGGTTCATCTGGCTGTCCTTCTAGACCCCTGTGCTCAAACACAGAACCGCCCAACACAAACACACCGTCAACAGAGGCGGGCGCTGCACTGCTTTCAATCTTAACTCCTTTGCAAACCAACATCCAGACACAGCCAGTCCTGCAGCGCGTCAGTGGGGGATTTAGCCATGTAGGATGTGTAGAATGTGTCTGGTGGTGATGAGGAGATCCCCCCATTGTGTAAAGCGCTTTGAGTGCCCAGAAAAGCACTATATAAATGTAAGGAATTATTATTATTATTATGTGATGCTGGATTCACATCTGTGTTGATCCTGAAACTCATATGGCTCATATGAGCTGATCCCTGACCCTAACTGTGCATTATTCACAAAGTCCAAATGTGTTTTAGATGTCAGTATCAGTGTTGTTAGTGTTTAGGATATCTATACGCTAGTGTGCTCCAAAACAGAGAAAACATTCACATGTAGACGATATACCCCTGATGAACATGTAGAGCTTGCAGTTTGTCTCTTCCGTCTAAATGTATCTACAATTTCACTGTCGCTTCTCATCAAATCTTCTGACCAATCAAATGCTCTCTAGTGTCAGGCATGTCCCGCCCCCTTCTTCTCATTGGCTTTTGATTTGACGCACTTGAGCTCAACCACTCTCACTGGCAGAGCTGTGAGAAAAACAACACGCTATTGGCTGTTTTTTCAAAAGGGGGAGGAGTTATGTCAAATTTCCAATGGAAATGCAGATGTATAAGCACTTCTGGGAGACTTGTATAGTTGGACACAGCGATGCAGAGGCACATAACAGTGAGTCCAAACAGAAATAGTAAAATTATCTCTTTAATCTGATTGGCTGGCGGTAATGTTGAACATGTCACACTAACCCAACGTGCAGCAGTTTACATAGACAAGTAAGGGATAATGTACATGCAGCCGGTGGTTATCTCAGAATAGAGCCTGAGCCAATGTTAAACTGCTGAGAGACATCCGTGCATCAGGTATAAAGATGACAGCAGCTTTTACATTTGTGTGTGTGTGTGTGTGTCTCACCTGCAGGAAGACTTTATTAACTCCAGGCACGTAGTCAGCCACTCTGCCGAAGATCAGACGCCCCACGCCGGACGTGATGCCGATACAGGCCAGCAGAACTTCTTTATTAGCTTCCGGTCCGAAGCGCTCCTCCACATGTGTCATCTAAGACACACACACACACACACACACACACACCCACCCACACACACACCCACACACAAACACACACACACACACACACACAGATGGAATGGTCAATGATGCACTGTATCGATGATTTAATAGTCAGTTTAATCATCTGATAACTCTGGTTTACTCGAGGACAGTGTAACTGGAGTATCGGTTATCTGACACTCATCTCTGCTCATCACAGCACTGAACACACAGAGCCGTCTACTCCACACACTATGCAGTGAGTATGTTTGGTCGTAGCGTATGTTGCCAGATTGAGGTAAAGAAGGCTTCCAGATTTGAATATTTCATCAATTGTGTGAGCTGATGAGCTTTATACAAGATCTGGCAACCCGCAGAGACGGCAGAAGTACACACATCCTTACCTCCAGCAGAAGTACAGACATGATGCTGAAAAGTGCTCACTACACTCCTGCGCTCAAATATCAGTAAAGTACAGCCTGAGATGTGCACTGAAGTCATTACTGCACCTGCTTTAGTTTCACACCGGTAACTGAATAATCCAGGGGCTGATAATTCTGACTTCAACTGTATTTATGGACTGATCAAACTGTGCAGTGATCAGCAATATTATAGATCACACCACTAAACTCATGAAGTATGCGTACACCGTCACTCCTTATCTCTGCCCACTTGACAAACAAGAGCAAAGAGCGACGCCTCGTAACTAGAATAGACCATACCAGGAGAAACCACAGAGCCAGAGGATGGCGGGAGGCGAGTGTGGGATACAGGAGACTCCTGGGAAAACAGGTATGAGTGAGACACAGAGATGTTTTGAGCTGATCAGGCTGAACCTGTGCGTCAACAACACTGTCAGAGAGCGATCACACTGAGACGGCTCCTGCGGGAGGTCAGAGGGCAACGGCTGCTGATGGAGATCCTGGAAAACAGGACTCCTGCCCGCCTGCCTGGAGAGGGAGAGGACAGCTTCTGTGGGACACTCTCTGGCTCATCCATCAGGAGCGCACTGGAGATGCACGTGTTGAGGAAGACAGCAGAAGTTCCCAGGATCTGCAGATTGCAATGTCCTGAATTTTGCTTGCCAATCTGAAGCCAATTGCTTTTGTTTTTAGGTTCAATTAAAATTTTC